AAAAAAAAAAAAAAAAAAAAAAAGGTGGCGCTGTCGTTCTGAATTTATTTTATAGAAACTAAAATAAAATATAATAAAAAAAGAAAAAATAAAAAGAAGTTAAACAGAGAAAAAGAAAATCAAAACGAAGACGAATTCATCATCATGAGCTGTACATACACCCGAAAAAATATGGATCGAATGCGAGCAGTTCAGGTGTATGCTGAGCTGTAAATATTTAATTAAAATAAAAATTAATAAATTAAAATAAATAAATTATTTTTATTTTTTTCTTTTTCTTCTTTTTTGAATCATAAAAAAAACAAACGATGCAAGAAGAACCCCACGGGGCTCGTTCTCTCAGCCCCGCATGTATGCGTGTATTTCTGTGTGTATTTTTTCTGTATTTTCTTTGTTTTTGTGTTTATATTCAACAAATTTAATTTATTTTTTATTATTTTAATTTATTTTATTTATTTTAAACAAAAAAATAAACAAAATGGCCGCAGAAGGAACCGCGGATCCCGTTCAGATGGCTCTGGTTGAGCTGCTGGGGCTCAGCGATATGTACAGAAGGTTTGTTTCTTTTTTTTCTTTTTTTTTTCTTTTTTTCTTTTTTTATTTTTAATTTATTTTATTTATTTTATTTTTTTAATTTAAATATATAAAAGCTGTAAAATAGGCAGCTTATGCTGGGACATGAAGAGGTAGCTGGTGGTGTTTTCGTTTTTTTTTGTTATTTTCTTTTTTTTATTTATTTAAAAAATAATATAAATAGTAAATAAATGTTTAAATTTTTAGTTTGTTGTATAAACAAAATATCGGTGGTGTTCTTCTCTTTCGTTGTTTTGTTTTTCTCTTTTTTTAATTAATTTATGTAAAATAAACAAAATTAAATACAAGTCCAGGCATTTAGATTCACTGTAATACAATATAATTTATATAATTTCATTTATATATTTATTCATTTTATTTTATTTATTTTATTTTATTTTTTTATTTTATTTTATTTTATAGAGTTGCAGCTGTCTGTGTTTAACCACCGATCAACCAAACTAAACAAAATAAATTTATTTACACATCTATCTTTTT